CATGGATTGATTCATACAAGTTTCCAAGAAAACCAACTAGTTCCCTGCGGTTTTCGGGGAGATTTAAGGAACAGAAGAGACTCCAAGTGTTTGTTTCTGCTCAGTTTCGGCCTGTAAGAGATGAAAATCGACATAGACAGGCTTCTTTTGAGGTTTCTTGTTCTTGTAACAATTCTCAAGGTACAATATCTAAGTCCTTGTCATTGCATCTTTTGAATCTGTGAAATTAGTCTTGGTTGGATATTTTTAGATGATGGGCTATTGTTAGATAATTTTTTTTGGATTTATAACATCTGGGTTTTGGTTTTGGTTTTAGTTTGTTAAAAGCCTATTTGAAGGTGCAGTTGGAGCTGCTTTTTTTTTTTTTTTGGCGTCTTTGCTGTAGTGTTATTGGGTGATTTGTAATATATGTTATTTTTTAGCTGGTAAGTGAAAATGGTTTTGAAAATCTTTAGACTTTGCATGGGTAATCTATTGAATTTTTTTAAGTCTGTACTTCCAATTTATAATATATTGATGGTGTAACCGTGCTTAATTTGAGTATACTTCTTGCTTACATAATGTAAAAGAATCATGAAGTTATTGTTTCAGCATTGACTTCCTTTCCATTTTTCTTTTGGATTTTGAAAGATTCTTTTAATTTTTGTAGTTTCAACGTTGGAATCTGAAAGTCTCCAGGATTTGTTTGGCGAGGAATCTTTGATTTTGAAGGTATGAAATGCTTCTGTTCTCATCAGTTTGAATGAGATATCTAATAATATGTTGGATTTTATTTTGCTCTGCAATCTTTGCATCTACTTTGCCTTAAAAACTGTGAACTTTGCCTTACTTTTTCCTTTCCTCTCCCTTTAACTATCTAAAACTTCACTGTTTTCTGCTCATCAAATTTCTTTGGGCGTGTATCTCACTAGACGTGAACAAAATTTGCAGAATAAGTCACAAGAGATTGAGCCATATTTAAATGGACGCTGTATATATCTTGTTGGTCAGTTTCTTTGTCTAGTCTTATGTATTCTGTTAGAAATTGATTTGATTACTCTGATAGTAAACTAAATGAATGTGAAACATGTAGGGATGATGGGCTCTGGAAAAACTACAGTGGGAAAGATTCTCTCGCGATCAATTCGTTATTCATTCTGTGACTGGTTAGTACATGTGATTGTCTTCCATTTGGGGTTCTAGGAAAGATTTTAGTATGCCTCTGCAATCTTAAAAAGAATGAGGGAGAGGAAAGAAAAGGCATGCTTCATAATGCAACAAAAACTTCTATACCATTTGAAGTACATCCTCAACTCACAGCAATACAACATGGTCGTTGAGTGGGGGCACTCATAGATGATGATCCAAATTATTAAATATGGCTTGTGGTAATGTTACCCCTATCTTGTGAGATCTGATTTTGCAATGGTATAGAAGTTCTTGTTGAAATGTTGAGCACTGGATGTGCCATTACGGTGTCTACATCTGTCTGTTAAATGCAGGTTATCCACATAACCAAAAATCTTTTTTTATGTTAAATAATAATTGTAATGTTCTACATTTTCATGGATTTTCCAGTGACAAACTGGTGGAGCAGGATGTTGGCGTGCCTTCTGTAGCTGAAATATTTGAAATATATGGAGAGGATTTCTTCAGAGATAAAGAGGTGTTTTAAGTAGATTGTATTTTGAATCTCTCCATTGCAAAACTTACTCATGCACATTTAATTGGATTATATTTAGTTACTAGCATTGCAAAATATGTCATTCTGAAAAGAGAACTGATGATAAGTTGAAGCAGTGACTGCTAATTCAGTTGTTGTGCTCGTTGGTTTATCCATTGGGTTTTATCTATTTGCTAATCTAAATATGTAGCCACACTAAAAACACTTGACCAAAGTCATATGCTCTTATATCTATCTTTTTTGGTTGTGGCTTCAAACTTTAAATATTGTAATCCTACCTTTCAGACTGAGGCATTAGAAAAGCTATCAATAGAACACCGGTTTGTTGTTTCCACTGGTGGCGGTGCTGTGATACGGGATGAAAACTGGTATGATAGTGGACATAACAATTGAAACTTAAATTCTTTACCTTCTGATTATTTGGTAAGTTCTTTATGCATGTTGGTTTTCAAAGTGTTCTACTTTCTATTTTGTTAATCAGGATATACATGAGGAAGGGGATTAGTGTCTGGTTAGATGTGCCTTTGGAAGAACTGGCACAGAGGATCGCAGCTGTAGGAACCAAGTCTCGCCCCCTTTTGGATAATGAACCAGGAGATGCATACACCACTGTAGGTTATTTGTCTTCTAAACATTTTTCTTGTTAACGTGTCATATCTTATGCTTTGTCTTGAAACTTATTCTCACTACAGGCATTCAGACGCCTTTCTACTCTGTATGAGCAGAGACATAAAGCTTATGAAAATGCCAAGGCGAGGGTTTCTCTGGAAAGTACGTGTGCTTGGAACCACAACTTGCGGCTATCATGTGTTTTCTTATTGCTTTGTAGTTCTTGGGATCTGCTAGTCTTTGTAATTGCTAAGATTTCACATGTTAGTTAAGTGAATATACTGAAGATAAGTGTTTACACTGTGCAGATATTGCAGCCAAACTAGGACATAAAGATGTATCCACTATCACACCTGCTATGATTGCCATTGAGGTCTTTTACTGTCTCATTCATGCTTTTTCATGCATTCTTTATTTCTGCAAAACTAGGACATTAATTTTTGTTGTCATTTTTATAATTTCACTGGCAACAGTTCTGCGTTGGTGAGCTGTGATTTTTTTTTTTCTTTTTTGTTACATGCCGCAGAATTATCATGCTGTCTAGTAGATTGACTAGTTGGAACTGAAATTTTGCAGGCACTTGAACAAATTGGAAATGTCCTATAGGACATCAGTGGCATGGCTGCAACGGGATTCTATTTTAACAAGCTTTGATTATGGCGCTTAGTTGGATGGCATCCCATGCCATGTTTCTATATTTTAACATGGCTTGTGTGATGCATTATGTGGAAGGTTTCCATTTATTACCTGCAGGATTTGGGATGCGAATGATGTGTAAGATCTATGTTGTAATGTTGACTTGTGCATATGGCGAGGTGCCACTTCGCCGGATGCCATGTGATCAAAATAAAGGTTAGAGATTAATGTCAAGCTGTTGATCCTTTTGTGGATTCCTGCTCAGCCAATGTATGCAAGGATTTTCTATGAATATGCTTCTTTGTCATATGGACGCCCTAGATTTAGGCTAATCTTCGCATTTTTACACTGCTTAAGGGTTTAGTTCGTATTGTTACTGTTTCTGAGTACTATGGACACATGGAGTAGCAGATACAAGGGAGTCAGAAAGTAATTGATAATGCAGCTATGATCTTTGCATGCAACCCCAACAGATGTTACAATATGCTCGTCACTGTAAGCTTTGGCATGGCAACTGGTCGGTAAATTGCAGCTGACTTGAAAGGAGACGTGATGGGAGTTATCTCCGAAGATGTAATTTATTAGCGATGGTGGATTTGTTTGTTTCATTCGATTGGATTTTTCTGCAAAAAAGAACATTACCAGTTATTGTGCATGTATAAACACAAACCTTTCTGAAAGGATGATGCTGATCAAGCTCATGTAGTTCTCAGCAAAGAGTGAACAAGCACTTGGTGAATGTAATGAGTAGCAGGATAGGCAATAATTCTGCAAGAGATACAGCACTTCAGCAGCACTTGTGTCCCAAAACAAAAAATGAGAACCTTACTGATGTTGTACAGATATTGTTTCAACACATCAGGGAATAACTATCTTATTACTGCTCATTAAAAAGTGCATGTTAAATGTATTTCATGTAAGAAATAGCTTACTCGATCAATACGGATTGGGGTCTTAGCACTTGCAAGAAGAGAGCACTTCCAAAGAAACTTGTATGCAGAATAAGCTAGCGACAAGCTTGGCCTCCAATTCCAAATTGCTGCCCCCAGTTTGATTTGGTTGTCGATATTGACGAAAACAGTAATATCTTCTTAGTCGATCTTTCAAGGAAGATGATCTTTTTTTTGCATAAACCAGCCAGAAAACTCGCCTTCTCCATGAAAGATAATACCATATCCGGCAGTTCCACTGCCTCCATCCCAAGTCCCCCCCAGCATTTATCTTCATAAGCCCAAGAAGAGGCGCGGATGGTAGGTTCTCGAAAAGCACAAGCTTCTAGTTCTAGGAAACCCTTCAGATATGCTAGAGCTTTTGAATCAATTTCTTGTGCTGACAACTCGTTTGCCAAAAGCTACACTACTTCTATTCCATCAAAGAAGCAAGACAGGAACCCCATCAGATCTACAGCCTCCATACCCATTACTGTCCATAACAAATCCTCTAAGTTAACCCGCACATCTATTCAATCTTTTCATATGGCTAACTGTCCAAATTTCAGGTAAAATTTTTTAAGCCTGATAGCAAATACTCTTTGAGATGATTTTGTACAAGGCTTAATAAACTAATAGGTCTAAAATCTGTCATTTTCTCCAGGCTTCTAATCTCAGGGATCAGTATTTTGGAAGACAATGTAATTATAATTATTTTTTAATAATTTTTCGTATTCAAATATATATTAAAAATATTTTTTTATTTTTTAAAAATTATTTTTAATACTAACATATTAAAATAATTTTAAAATTTTAAAAATATATTAATTTAAATTAAATAAAACATATTCAAATTTTTTACAGCTTCAATAAAAAAGCATAATTTATGTGCTTTTTACGCTACACTTCAGTATTAAAAGTGTGTTGGGCAATGTGTTTGGAAAACATTCTGAAAAAAATTAATTTTTTAATTTTAAATTAATATATTTTTAATATTTTCTAGTTATTTTAACATATTAATATCAAAAATAATTTTTTAAAAATAAAAAAGTATTATTAATATATTTTTTTAAATAAAAAACACACTAAAAAATATAAAAAAAAAATCTCCAAAAATAAACGCTAGGATTGGAGAAGTATAAAGCTTGGATTTGACAAAAAATAAACAAGAAAATCACGGGAACAATTGAAAAGGACAGAAGAATATTACAGATCATTATTCGCTGTTCTTAAAAACACTGTCCAGAAGAGCCATCGAGATATCGCGCTCACCCCATGAATAGTGGCCATTCTGAGAACCTGTCATATGTGCTCCAAAGTCTTGATGGGATAGTGGATTTGACAAGTATGAAGCACAATGGTACGATATATTATCTATACCTTCACTTGATGATTTACATGAAAAATGAAGATAGAGGTATGATCTTCCATCACCATCTCCACGGAACGCACCTCCACTCTCTCTATAGATGTCTCTGATACTGCTTCAATCTTTCTTGTCTTCCATAATTATAAATCCATCTTCTGCATGGTGCATGGTGTGCACTCACAATTTCATCCTCAAGCTCGCAGTCCCATCAAGCCTTTTGTCTTTTCTTTTTCTTTTTCTTTTTCTGGCAGCATCTTCAAGCAATATCTTCCTTCGATCTTGTCTAATATCAGCTGCGACACTTGTACAACTATAAAAAATTCCCCTGTAATGAGTTATTTTTCCTCTTCAAAGAGGGAGATTCCCTATTAATTATTTTTCTGCAAGATTAACAGCGTTGCTGATTCTCACTATTCCCAATCAGGATAGCAATTTTCCATCTGATATTTGTACTTAACAGTTCCTATTACTCTTGTTTTTCTTCCAATCTTGCTTAAGGCATCTCCGAATTGCAATATCTAGTGAATTTTAAATATCAAGACAAACATGGAATAAATTAGCTTAAACTTGCAGAACTAATGACGAATACAATAACAAGAATTGAAGTTCAAATTAGCAGAAAATCAAATTTAGAACTGTTAGCTAAGAAAATATGTTAATAAAAAATTCTGGAAATCGTGTCAACAAACTAAAATCAAGATTGAAAAGTAAAAACAAGTATGTATAATCAGATAACTAGGATTAATGCAACGTAATGTGAATGCTTGCACATATAACTGCATTTCTAAACATGTTGCAAGTGAAATAAAGCAGTTCAGAGCAACAGCAAGGGAAGAACATAATGGATTGTTAAAATAAGCAAAAGGTAGGAAACTAGAAATGATAGCAACAGGCCACAAACATGAAAGAGAAATATATTTTAGCTTCATTCTACTCTCAAAGAAAAAATTCATGATGGAATCGAACAAATGAACATGTATTATAACAACTTTTTGCATGACTTGTTTGGTAAGGCTAATGGAATCGAACAAATGAACATGTAATATAATTTGTAATACAATGGAAGAAATGAACATGTATTATAACAATAACTTTTTGCATGACTTGTTTGGTAAGGCTTAAATGCATTCTAAGGGGACTCTTTATAAAATCAAGAAGATGCTTAAATTGTAAAGCAAAAAAGGGAAGACAATAAGCTAAAAGATTAAGGTTTTCATAGTTCTTTAAAGCAAGTTTGGACGACTAATTTTTAAATGGTGTCTTTCCTCTAGTCTTCTTTGCCACAAAACTCAAGTGACAAAAGAGTCAAATATCAATTACTTGTCCATGTAAATATAAAAAAATGGTAAGAATGGATATGGCCTAATGCATACATCCTTGATCATCTCCTTAAGTGCTTCCTCCTATCCATGAAAGAAACATCTCCTAGCTGATTTTAGAATAGTGAATCTCCTAAGCAATTTTTCATGTCGTGATCCCCTGTTATTCTTATGCTTTCCCATTGCCAGTGACCAAAAAGTTGTAACTCAAGTTGAACAAAGTGGAATAAGGCAAGAGAGCCACTAGAGCAAGTGTTTTGATAAGATGTTTCAATAAATTGTCATACATATCATTAGGACATGAAAGCTGCATTATTATTTACACTCTACCATCATACTAGGTGATTTGATTGCCGTTCATCGAGAAACATGAAATATTTACAATTGAGGACATAGTTTAGGCATGTCTGCGCTGATTGTCTGTATAGATCGTAAATTAACTAACCATTTCTCCATTTATCTCCTTCTCAACACAAATTTGATAATTTGCAGAAGCCAAAATAACTAGTGCCCTACCATCGCTTCGGGTTAAATGACTGCCATACATAGAGAAACATAACAATTGAGGACATAGTTAAAGTATGTTTGCCCTGATTGTTTGTATAGGTTGTAAATTAACTACCCATTTCCCAACACCTCTCCCTCTCAAAACTAATTTCATAATTTGCAGGAGCAAAAATAACGGTAAAATTTAGCTGAAATGTACATGTATTTATTTCATGTGTATGGAAGCTTACTTTACAGACCCGACAAATCAAGCATCACATCAAGTTAACAAATTAACATATGCGTTCATGAGAACATTTGAATTGCAAAGAGCACACACAAAAGACCAAATGAACAGCTAAAAACAACAACAATAACAATAAACATAATAACAATAAACATACTTGGTGCGCTGCGATAAATCCTCACATCGAAACAGCCAAGCAATGAACAATAGACGACCCAATGGGAACCTTATGAACAACATCACACCACTCAACCCTCCCCCGCAACTCCCCCTCTCCATTCTCCTCCACCTCAATTTCCGCACACCAAACCTCCATTTCCTTAACATTCCCTTTTCTTTCCCAAACCACCACCAACTTCCCACCTACATTCGCCATTGTGGCACCACACAAAAACCTCGGCAACTCCTTTTCAACCCCCCTCAGCTCCTTCCAAGCCCCATTCCTCACATCAAAACCCCTAATATTTCCCACATAATCATAACAATACAAGATCCCATTAACCACACATGCTCTACCTCTCCACCCTAAATCCAATTCACTCTCCACACTCTCCCATTTCTTCGTTTTCGGTTCATAAACAACCCCATTCCTATCCGCCATCACATAAATTCTCTCATTTACTACAGCACTTCCGTGCATCCATTTTTCGCGTAACAAATCATCCTTTCCACTATCAACAGAATCCCACCTCTCCGTTTTCGGATCAAAAACCTCCGCCCAATTCCTAGACTTCGCCCACGTGTCCACCACGCAACCGCCAATCACATAAATTCTCCCATCCACAACCCCAGCAGCAGCAAACTCACGCGAAATTCTCATGTTAGGGACAGCCTCCCACGTGTGGGACCGGCAGTCCAGTGCCCACACGTGGGGGGACGGGATGTCATTGATCGAACCACCGATGACATAAATCTTGGATCCCACAGCGGCGAAAGCGGAGCCCACGAGAGGGGAAGGTGCGGGAGTGAGTGGAATTAAGGAATTTTTTGTGTGGTCTGGATAGAGCGTGAACCACTGCAGGGAAGTTGTGGTGGGGATACGGAGGGAAAGGTAGAGAAAGTGTTGAGAGGTATTGAGGAGGGAGCGAGTTGTGTAGAGTAGAGGGGAGGAAAGGATGGAACGGAAAGGTTTCGAGACGAGGGCAAGTCGTGGGTGATAGGACCTTGGGATGCGGGCTAAGATGTTTAAGGCGATGTCGTTTGGGAGGGAGGGTATTAGGATTTGCAGTGGTGTTGGTGGTGGTTCGGTGGTGGTGGTTGACATGGCGGTGGGTTTGGCTTGGGAGTGGTGCGCGCGTGCTGTTGTTGAGACCTAGGAGTTAAAATGGAGCACTGGTAGTTAAGATTACATCAGAGTGAGATATTAGTATTATATAATATTATAAAGAAACGGGCATTGAACTTGGATGACATGGTTGGATTGGGAAACAATTTCACTGTTAATTGCTAGATTGCAATTGTTTCGTTCCTTTTTTTTTTTAATGTTATGATTTTACTGTTTCAATGTGGATTGTGAAACAATTTCACTGTTCATGTTATGATTTTACTGTTTTAATGTGGATTGTGAAACAATTTCACTGTTCATTGCTATATTGCAATTGTTTTGTTTCTTTATTCTTTAAAATTTATTAAAAAAATGAACATTAATTTTTTTAATTCCGTACTCTCATGTTACGTTGATAGGATTATAGATTTTATAATTTATTTGGATTTTGTTATCTAAATTGTATTTGAAGTGTTTTAAAATATTCTAATATAAAATTATAATAAAAACTAAATAACATGGAAAATTATATGAATCAATAGATTTTTTTTACTTTTTTAATTTCAATTTAATTTTTTATTTTATGGTAAGTAGAAAAACATTTATATGGCTTTTCTTTTCTTCTCATTTACTGTTCTTTCTTTTTTTTTTTCTTTTAACTTTTTACAAATTAGAAATTGAAAGTAAATTGGATGATTAAAAGCTACAAGAGATGATAAAAATAATGCTTTTTATATTCGGTCTTTCCTCTTTTTTTTTTTTTCAATCAAATCAATATTAGAAATAAAAAAGAACAAGACACCAAATTAACCAATCAAATCAATATAAAAAATAAAAAAGAACAAGACACCAAATTAACAGAGAAGATGACATGGTCATAATGAAAAAAAAAAGACAATAAAATAAAAAGAGTATGGAATTTTTTGGTATAATTAATGGTGAGAAAATGTTGTTTGTTTTTATATGTTTTTAAAAGTTTGATTAATTATTTTTTTATTAACAAAATAAATATATTTAATAAGAATATTCTTGATCTCACCATCAAATCCATAAATTTTAATGAAAAGTAGTGGATTTTATGGGTTCTAACATTAAAGATGGGATCTTTTTCAAAAGTCTAGCATGTTTTTATTATTTTTTTAATAATATTAGAAAGATTAGAGATGAGTTACAAAAAAATTAGACAATAAATTAATAGGCGGAACAAAAAAACTTTGAGTATGTTGAATTAACATTTTATTGAAGGACAATAAATATATCCTTGTGTTATTGATAAGAGAAACCTGCAAGAGTAATTTTTCTTTATTCTTGATCAGAGTTTTTTAAAGTTATAAAAGTGTGAGCATGTATATAACAAGTGGTATTAATATAGCAGAGTTTAGCTTAAATACTGCATTTATTTATTGAAATTCAGTATTGTTTGGTAAATGTATTTATTGTTTTTTTTTCTTAATAATATATTAAAAGTTTGCAAGAAATTATTAGTTAGATATCCTAAGACCATTCAACTCATTTACATGAGTATTTTAATTCTCAACAAAATCATTATCTTTGTTTGGCTCATGAAAATTATGCAAATCATAGGTGTCAGACCCAAGTTATTTAGGTCTGACTACCATTTTAGACTCAAGCGTCTTGGGTCTGACAACCATTCCAGGTCCAAGTGCCCATGCTAGACCTAAGCATCATAGGTCTAGCAACCAAGCTAGACCCAAGCTACATGAGTCCAGCATTTTGGGCCTGCCATGTATACCGAACTCATGTTATATGGACTTGGCAAAAATTGTAATGGACAAGCTTTGATTTTTATTGATTTCACTCTTGTTGTCTTGGTTATATATTAACTCCTCTACATCTTAAAACCTTTCTATTTATGTTACTGCTTATAGTTTGTGTTAATTTCTCTTTATATTATTAGCAATTGAAGTTTATCTTATCTTACATATTTAGCACAAACATGAACTAAGTTCAGCGTAATGATATAAAATAAAATGTCATAGCAGAGCGAAGACAATAACAACAACAACAACAATTAATGGTTATAACAGTAATAATAATAATTATGATAGTAATAAGAATAAAAATAATGATAATATTAGTTAAAGTGAAGGTGATAATAATTATAACAATAATATAAACTAATAGCAATTATGATATTAATAATGATAGTGATCATAATAATTCTAACAATAATAATAATAATGATAGTGATCATAATAATAATACTAATATTAATTATGATATTTCTTATTGATAATAATAGTAATAGTGGTAGCTGTAATAATAGTGACAATATTAGTAATTATAATAATAACGATAATAATAGTAATTGATATAGTAACAATGGTGATAATTCATCATTTGATGTTATACTTATCCTTAGATTATTCAGAAATTAAATTTCATAATTAGTTTCATTTCACCTTTTATGAAATTATCGTTTCACCTTTTATGAGATTATCGTGATCTAAAAAAAATTTCAATATGAGATTATCATGTAATTAAAGAAAAAATAGATTGAAAAAACAAATTATAATCATAATGGAGTCTATAATTCAATTCACAAGTTTGACGTACTAACTCGGTTTACCTGATTCACAAGGGCAACTAGCTCGAAATGGATTTTGACTCTCACTTTTAGAAAGGGATTTTTAGTTTGTTATTTGCCTCAACACAACTTTGTTTTTACCATGATCTAGAAACTCTTTCCCAGACGTTCATTAGTTCATTATGAATAAATCATTATCTTATTTTTATGATTTTTTTTCAAGATTAATGTTGAATTTGCAAAGAACAATTGGTATCAACATAAAATAATTTAGCTTAAATTTTGCATTTATTTATTGAAATTCAACAGTGTTTGATAGAGCTATTTGCTGTTTTGTTTTTTTAACAATTCATTAGAAGTTCACAAGAAATTATTAGTTAGATGTTGTGAAATTATTCAATATATTTGCATGAGTATTTTGATATTTGACAAAACTATTACCTAATAACTTTGAGTTTAGCAACCATGTTAAGTTCAAGTGCCCATGCCAGATCTAAGCACAATAGATCTGGTAACCACAGTAGACCCAAGTTGTCTAAGTCCAGCATTTTGGGTCTGACAAGCATGTTAGACTCATATTATGTGGAATTGGCAAAAATTATGTCATAAAGCCCAAAATTGTATCTATCTTATACAAGAATACATGATTTCTATTTACAAATGACTTACAAGTTCATGATTTTCTAATAGATATGCTTGAAAATAATTAGATTGGTGAATTTAGAGGAATGAAAATTGAATGAAATGAAAGTCATGATTGTCATATATTTATGCAAAAGCTCATTTCATTGCTTACAGGGATTTATTGTTAAAAGAGATATAAGATGCATTCAAGAATACTAGTTATTTTTGAGATATTTCTCAAATAAATTGCATATCCAACACATAAAGCAACTTAAAATGAACATTAGTGAGATAATCTATAAACTTCAAATGATCTTCCCTTTCTTTTTTGTCGACTCAATAAAGCATCAGCCTATATATTTAGCATATGAGAAAAAAGTTAGAGGTCTTATGCATCCTAAATAAGCATCTATCTTTTAAAAAAACATTTAGTTGTTCAATCTCTATTTATTTCCATGCAGATACTTATTCAACTTTAAGAAAAAGGTTTAAAATATGATGCATGTTGAGGCTTCAATATATTAAGTTTATATTATTGAAGAGATTTCAAAATATATCTTATATTACTATAAATCTCATTTGAGAATAAGAATCAACTGCATCCCAAGATATGATAATGATGGTGAAGTTCCTTTGAGTAAAAATTTATCAATATTTTTTCATCTTGGATGATGATTGTCAAAGAATGCAATAACAAGTAGATATTTGTCAAACATTGAATTCAGGTAAGCTAAAATTTTACTAGGAGTTTGTAGACATATTTTTATACATTAAGTTAAAATTTTAATTCAATTAAACTTCAAAAGGTCTTGTAATATAAGATAATAGATGCAATATAGATTTTGTTATTTATTTATTTTTTACTTGTATACTTTTTATTTAGAGATAATTTTTTTTCTTATAATGCAAAGGACATCAAACAATTTATTTTTGGAGTTTCATAGTTCTGCAAGGATTTTTCATAAGCAACAATATAATTTTAAGGTTGGTAAGGATTCCTTTAATGTTCTAAAATCATTTTCTTATTATAAGAATTTTTTATTTACCCTAACTACATAAAGAAAGGATACAACTCCTATGACAAGTTTTGTAATAGTTATTACCTTTTAGATTTCTTATAGAATATAGAAACTCTTAAAATATTTTATCATTAAATATCATTAACCCTTATTTTCTTATGTAACTAGGATGAATAATAAATTCTTATACAAAAATAATTCTAAATACCATCAGCTTTTTTTTCCTTATGTAGTTAGGATAGATAAGAAATCCTTATAAGAAAAAGGATTTTAGAACATTAAAGGAATCATTGTCATACTTAGAAACTATATTATTGCCTATTAAAAATCTTTTAAAACTAGAAAACTCCTAAAAATAAGTTATTGAATATCCTTGTATTGCAAGAAAAGGAATTCTTTCTAAATAAAGAGTAAAAAAAAATGTATTGCTTCTACTGACTTGTATCACAAGATATTTTTGAACTCTAATTAATCTAAAATTTTAACCTAATATATAATTTTCAATCCAATCATTGGATCAAGTAAAAAGTTAAACCTAATGTAGAACAATATGTCTGGAAACTCATAGTATAATTTTAGCCCAACTTAATGGTTGAATTAAGAGTTGTGTTTGATAGTATAAAACTAGATAATATGCATAATTATACTAGAATCCAAATTTCCTTGTTTAACCTTTACTTTGATCATAACAGAAAGAAAGATAGATGTTATAGCAAATATTTTTTTAATAGATATATCTTTCACACTAAAGAGTATGGTGAGGGTAAAAATAATTATATTAGTGGGGTTTGTGTTAAAGAATTAACTTCGAATGAGTTTGATATTAATTATTTTTGTAAATTAGAAAAGGTAATTGAGTTGTAATATTATAAGGCATAAAATACAATCTTTTTATTCAAATGATATTGATATGATACCAATAGA